GTTGTGGCGATTATACAATTCATTCCTAGCCTAACTCTCAAGGAACTTCTTCAAGGAGACAGCTTGCATCATTAATTTTTTTCTCCATCGAAACCTTTTCTCGCGTCGGTCGACAATAAATCTCTGTTACTCCTCTTAGCTGCTCGTCCTAAACCAATGGAATTCATCACTCTTCCGTGCGACAGCGAGACCAACAATGTGTCAACGAACATTCTAATTCACAGCTCCTCATTTGATCTCGCGGCTATTCAAGGATGATCGCGACGGACCATTGTCAATTTCGTGGGGGAGTGGTGGTGGTTAGGCTGTAGTGACTGGCTCAACACAAAGTGCACTTGTGAACGCCCGTCGTGACTAGCTCAAGTCGAAGTGTACTTTCAAGGGTGCTCGCTGTTTCCGGTCTCTGTAACAGCCAATCACAGACCGACTCATACAGGTTCTCACGTGACGACTGCCGAACAGACCTGACTTCAGACGCCGTCCGCTGGCTTGCGGTTGTGTGGTCGTCTGGTAGTCAACTTCCTACTGCCTCTTCTCCAATTCATTCTGCAAAGAATATATTCCTCCTACTACTCTGGCCTTCCCATGACTTCTCTCCCTTCATCTCAGGAACCTGGCCTAGAACATTGCAGACTTTAGGGTTAACCTTCTTAGCCTTAACACTCCTCGATACAGGTTATGCAAGGGAACGAGAGAGAGAGAAAGGAAATAAAGAAGAGAGAGAAAACAATAAAGAAAACGAAGAATGAGAACGAGAACACAGCTTACCTTTCAGTGGCCGCAGTATACACACACACGCAAACGAAGTTTATCCACTTTCGCCACCGTCCTGTTACTTATCCTTTTTAGATCCAGAGTAATCCACCCGTATCCTCTCACACCGACCGGTATCCAGGGGATACTTTGGCAGCGCATTTTATAGGCGTACCTACCGCAGTTCACTGCACCTCTGGTCAGCCGCACTCACACGGCGACTTCTGATACTGTGGTTCAACGCAGCGATGCTGGTTGGGGATTCCAACTCATAGAAATGATACACGTTTGAAGCAGTTTTCGTGGGGTGGGCTCGACCTGGGCGAAACTATACACAGCAGTAGTAATCGAGGAACGCAATGAAGCGCACTTATCGACAAGTAGCTCAGGAAGGAAATGCAGGTCTCGAGGCAAACTGGGACCTCCGGTGACATAGTCCAAACGCAGAAAGCCAATAACTCTAAAGGTTGCAAATAACATTGTGAGCAACAACTTGAATGCCGGGTCTCGTGTCATGTTTCAAGGTATGTTCCGCCGCAAGTATCTGCGGAATGCGATTTAGACTTCCCTGTATGAATTATTTAAACTGCCTCCAGTCACTAAGAAACGTAAAGCACGATCAGATCGATGAGACGCCGAAGTGTTAATCCTGCAAAAAATACTCCCCCCCCCGTGTCCCCAATATTCTGTTTGCAAATGTGGGTACAATGATCGTACATATTTTCCACTACGAACGTTTAAGCCATTTTCTGATCAAACCCCCCAGCAAACAAAAAAACAGCTTCTCATGCAATGTCTGCATGGATGCGTTGGACAAATCAGACTAGTCAAACTAATTGTAGGTCGGGTGCAAGAGACCTTGGTTCACATTTCGTTCTCTTGATTCGTTTTTCTGACGGTAAGTCCAACATATTGAGACAACTGATGATGGATCTGCGACCGAATCCCACATGTCAGGCGAGTAAATTACTTGTCTCCCAGCGATATACACATCAAAACTGTTTACTGACTCACACTAAGAGCATAGCCATCATGAACGCACTATCGACTGTGTAAATAAGAGTTTCTCGACTGTCGCAGATCGCATTTTCTATGAGTCGCGGAGTCCGGGCTTTATCCAGACTCATTTCTGGCTGGTAGGCTATAAATTAAGAAGCAAGCATCAGAAATCGTTCAGGGACACTAGCCTTGTGTTTCGGAGTCTCTCTCGAACTCAGCCATAGAGGTAATCGCCCACTGGAGCCTCCTATTGAGCCCACTTGACTGGTTCGCCTGATGACCCATTGCTTTGTGCGTCGCCGTCAATACTGTGGCCAACACTATTTTGACGAACTACGTGGCCAACTGCAGAACGCTAGTGTTTGTCACAGAAAACCCTAGCTCTCCCGTATCTGGTGCTGTCTCTAATGATGGGTTCGAATGTGAATCCGAAGGGTTGGGCAGATAAATTATTTGTCCCAGTGATTGCGTCTACTCTTTCTCGATTACGTCCTGGGGCTGGCATTTTCGCTTGTATCGTCAGCTCACCCTTACCGAGCGAATCCCAACCACGAAAAATGCACTAGTCAGAAGACTCTAATACCACCTGAAGATGACGTTTGCAACTCAATTCGATCACACCCAGCGAGTGATCTCACTACCTTTCGCTTCATTCTCAATACGGATATCGGTCGCTTTGTAGTGGAACTGACTCTCGAAAGCTAATCAAAAACATCTGCTGGGTTAACCAATTACACAGATATATAAATTATTACACATACTAGCAGTCTTGTGAACCGACTGCGCCGCAAACTCTTCTCCCCCGACTTGCGCAAGTGAGTTTGTGATGGTTCGACATGATGCTGTCTAGCGATCATTCTGACTCCCGGCCTCCCCCAACAAAGGACATTGCAGGTTTGTTCGCCAATCTGACCATGAATTTGTTATTAATCACAACGGCAAAGCCCACACTGACAGTGCTGGAGTGGACGGCAAAGGCCACAATAGATCCACGTAGTGCTCGGCAGGTGACGTCGCCACGATTCGCTGCTCACGATCTGGTCGGTTTGTGCAT